GCTCAAACAATCTTGGCATTGTTCGTTCAATATAAATGTTTTCCCAACTTGGAGAGCAACAAATCTTTCATGTGTATTTTTACGAAACAATTGAAATTTTTAGGTTATGAATGATAATAGGTGTAAAAAATTCGACCTAAAGCGTCTATTTCGATTTTTTTGCATCTGTTTTTCTTTTTTTTGAATTTTCAAGTTAACTGTAAATGTGTTTTAGGTATGCGTGTATAAGTAAAAAAATCCACGCTTTGCTTAGGTTGTTGCTTTGGCATGTGACCCCAGGAGATGTTGTTAACAAACAATAAAACATTACAACAATAACACTAACTATATAACAACAACGACAGCAAGAACACTAAAACAAAATACTGTTAAAAAGCAGCATAACTAAGTCCTGCGGTCGGTGGTCGAGAGGAGAGAGAGAGACAGCTGAGAGAGATTCCTTTTCATGCACAAATGGACAAAATCCACAAATAGACAAAACATATCAAGGTAATACCGTTTATAGTGGCAGCAGTAGCAGCGGCAGTGGCTATAACGGTGGTATGTATAAAAACATGGTAAAAAAACAAAAAAAAAAAAACACTGATAGTAAATTAATTTTTTGTAACTGAGTAGTTGTTTGCATGGTTAGATTTGAAATGCGAATATTAAATATGTATGCGCATGTAAAACACACACAAAACAAACAAACAAGTGTTTATTACCTTTTTTCCTCTTTTTGTTTTTGTTTTTTTTTTTTTTTTATAAACAAGCTTTTCCCGTATCTTTTGCATAAACTGTACATGAAAAATTTTAAAATATTTTAGATACATTACATCGTTTGCAACACAACGAAATACTTTGAAAAAGTGCTAAGAGCTAAACTCACGCGGATTTGAGTTGAAACTTTCCTTTATCTTAATTTCTTTTTTTCTTTGTTGCTGCTTCCACTGAAAATCTTGGTAGTGCTTTGATTACACTACTCGGTTACTGGATGCTGTGTTTATGCTCTTATCAGATTATTTCTACAAAAGCGATTAGTGTATAGCACAAGGTTGCTTTCTATAGTGTTTCAAAAGCAAACCCAGTGCGAGGGCTTAACATGTACGCAACGCTTTCAAGCGACTAGCAGCACTTTAATGAAATTCAATCCTGCTAAGATGATTCGTTTTGCGCAAAGTTGCTCAAGTCTGCATGTTATCTTCACAAAGCAACAATCCGTCAACTTTTCAGTCAGTGATTTTCGTTTGGGATCGAATTTACGCAAGAATAAATGATAAATCTCACTTAATCACTTAATAAGTTTGTAGGATCTGTAGGTAAACAGATGCAGCATAACACGTGGATTCATCAATAGGGGCGACATCTGTCCCACGAAATTATTGAGTGACATGTTAACGAACTTATTCAGTGACGTGTTAAGTAATGCACCTGCAAATGGTAATTTGGTCAATTTCAAGGCCAAGGAAAAACCTTGAAATTATCAAAAGTTATTTTCGCATATTAGCTTTGCTAAATGTCTTGTGATGCGTATTAATCCCCAACGAAGATGCCGTATGTATAAAGTCCAATGTCTGTCCGTCCATCAGTCTCAAACTTTCTCTAATGACATCTGTCGGGCTAAACTTCAATCTGCCGAAAATCGATTCACTGAGAAGCAGATCATCTCCACTTTTTTCCTAAATGTAGATCTTCCAGCTCAGACGCTTAGATCTGAAGAACAATTCCTCTTTAATTATTTTTAAATAATACAGAACATGAAAATGCTGCCAATTACGAGTATGTGATTTTGTTTACTTATAAACCAGCGATGAAGGACGAGGGAAAAAAAATTTATTGATCTTTTGAGGAAATAGCGATTCATGCTGCAGACTGCCTTCAGAGTTTCGCGTAAATGATATATGTTGCATGCACAAGGTTTTTATCCACCAATCATTTCGGTTTGTTTCCCACTGTTTGTTATGTGAACTTTCAGTTGCAATGATCACTAATTTACCAAAAAAGAAAGAAAAAAGGAAAGGTAAGCTCACGGATTTGAATACAGTTTCACTGAAATTGCATTTTTTTAATGATTTCTTTTGATATATTTACGATACATGTGATATGACAGTGGCTATAGAAACAAGTCCTTGTCAGTTTTTTTCTTTTATGGACGGAAAATTTATTTTAAGAAAATGTTCAAAGGTATTTTCCTCAAGGATACATCTTCACATTCTTCAGGAACTTCGTGTGCAAAGGCCTTTGAGGGTATTGTCAAGAGGAGAGATATAATTTTTATGGTCTCGCCGTAGCAGTGCACGATACACCTTTCAGGTCGTGCTACTTGAGACCAGTGTTAAGCTAAAGTTGGAGTAGAACAATTCTCTGGTGAATACATACAACGAGTTAGCGCATTCCCTTTCAACGTCCGTTAAAGCCTCCTAAGAGAGTTTTGCTAAATGTAGCTGAAGGCCCCTGTGCATGAAAAATCAACCTATAAAGAGTTTTGGCATATGTTGCCGCCTTTCCGACTCAATTAAACCAATGGTTGTTGGCAACGTGCATCTGTAAAATGGACACGTCGAATGGCGGCTTTATATCCCATCTGTACGTGTGCTTAGTTAGCTTAGCTCCATGGTGTATATGGAAACGTATCCTAAAGTCCTTCCAAGGAGAGCAATTTTTTTTTTTTTTATAAACTCTGAGGCAATTACGTAATTTGAATAGAAATTGCGATTACACGGGATAAAGCTCATATTTCATTAAAGGGCTTTTCTCTGCCTCTTTGGCGTAAAGGAAGAACGCACTTGCTGCTCCTAAAAGATCTTCACCTCCCAAAAAATTAACTGTTGGTTGTGGCGTGTGGGCTGAAAATATCATTACATAGCAATTACCCTCAATGCAGTTCAAAGCTACAGAAATAGATTAACAGGTTGATTTCACGAACTTTGTAGTCTCGACTTGACCGTTATCTGCTTTCAGCAAATTGATGCAACCTGTCCACAAATCTTCTAACGCAATCAATTTGTTGGGGGAAAAGTTCAGTGACTATGTAATCTCCAAAAATGTCTACGTGACCTTGTCATTGAGATCATGCCTTGTAATTCCATTGGATTTTTTTTTTTTGGGGGGCTTTGCTAAGTTGTTGATTTACCCTAACAGACCACGAACTGTCCATGGACCTATTTGCCAGAAATATGCGAATTATTGCTGGCATAAAAGCGGCCTTAGGTAGAGTATATAGAAATGTCGCTAGAAAGAGACGTTTGAAAATCGAATTTTTTCAGGAGCCCAGCTGCCCAGTGTGGCCACTTAACGACCTGCACTCATGTCTAAAATCAAATAAAAATTATGTTTATATCTTATGCCGTTTTCGTTTTAGTTCGGTACGTAGCAATGAGAAGTAATTGCATCAGCTATCTGTAAGCTGTAAGTAAAAGATTATGGAACGCAATCTCTAGCAATTATAGTAAAGTAGTGTAACCGTTACGAGAGTTCGCTGTAAACCAATTATGGTTTTGAATTCTCTCTCTCTCTCTCTCTATATATATATATTTTTTCTTTTAAAACAAAAAGAATAAATGAATAAATAATAAATAAATAAATATTTTGTAAATTATAAAATATTTTATGCAATTTTTCCTAGTCACTGTTGTTACTTTTTTATCATTTTCTTTACTTTAATTTTTTTTTTTTCTTTTTTTTTTTTAACCAAAAGCTTAAAATTCACGCTAGATTTCATTCGGATTTTTAGAAAATAGTTTATGCTACGTTTTTTACGTCCCTTTGCAATGCCGTTTGGGATGTAATTTCATTAAATATTTATGTAATTTTGTGTGTAACTTGGTTTTTTTTTTTTGCAGTTTTATTATGTTTGGCCTCACATTATACACAACTATCATAAATCTATTGTCATACATACCTTGGGGACATGTATGTAAATGCATAATGCATACATACCTACATACATACATACATACACACATACATACATACATACACGTGTATACATGTATGTCACAAAATTTCATTTACTCTCGTTTCATTCCAAATACACATAACAATACACATAAATAACAATATTTTAAAATGTATTTTTTATGTTTTTTTTCTCGCTTTTTTGTTCTTTTTGAAATATATTTTTTTGTTTCGTTGACAATTTCATTTGAATTTATTGCATTTTTAATTGTTTTTTTTTTTGGTCAATTTTTCTTTTCTATGATATAAAAATGAATGAATAACCATATCAACGAGGGTTATAGATAGTAAAATTGTGTGATTGTTAGCAACAATAGAGGCTTTAACAAGCTATTCGCATTTACGCATATTTGCTTATGCACAATAACTGAATAAAACAATTAATAAATAAATAAAAAAATAACAAAAATTGAATTAAAATTGAATATGCAAAGCGTTAATAAAGTATGAGAGAGCTGTAAAGCTCGAAAATGTACCTTCGACACGCATCATTGAAAATGAGCTAAGCATTAATCCCAAGTTTATTTGGGACAAATATTTTAAAAGAAAGAAAATATTTGCAAAGATAATCGAAGAAGAGAGATGCTATACTTCAGGGGCGTAGTTTAAAGTCTATGAATACAAGCGTGTCTTCTTATTAATGATATCATTAGAGATAAGAAAAACTTTGCGCTCTAGAAACCCAGGCTTAGGTTCTAGCCGTTAGGTAGTTCTTAATAAATTTTTACAGCATCCATCAGAGTCTCTCGATAGAGGCACAGATATAACTTGCCAGTGATGTGCTTTAAGCCTTTGCCTACATCTTTTTATCCTTAGTTTACTAATGCAAATCGGGCCCATTTTCAATGCGACATTGACGTCATCAGTATAAGAGTATTCATATCTCAAAAGTTTGGCAAATGTACTTTAAAAAACTTAACTCATTGTCTCTTGTTTTTTTTTTTTTTTTTTTTTTTTTTTTTTTTTTTTTTTTTTTTTTTTACAATTGATTAATCCTAGGCATGCATGCAAAAATCTGCCTTTCATTGTTAATAATAAATAGAATGTTTTATAAATATACTTACATCACATGTTGATGATGATATATTTTTCAGGCTTAAACGAAATATGCGATCCCTGCAATAAAAATAAAAAAACTTAATGTGATTTTTTAAGCTTTTTTTTTTATTTAAAGAAAATAGAGATTATTATCGCACGCGATAGTGTTGGTCTTCATTTTAATTCCCGCTCTTTTGTTTCTTTCGAAAAATAAAGTTTTTGCTCACTAAAATATGCAAATATGTGTTTAGTATTCGTAACATGACGATATGGTTCACCGGCTCACCCCGTATCGTGGAAAGGAAAGCCGGAATAGAACTCTGATACAGAGACGCGTTTGGATATCACACTATAAACTGAACCAAGATTCATGCAGAACTTATAATAAACACTTGTTTTTTGTCTCTTTCGCAATCAAAGAAGTAAGAACTCTAGAATGAGTCATGGTCAGCAATCAAATACTCTCTCCTGCCTTAGAATTACTAATATAACAATTTTTTCGAACTAAAGCGTTATATGGTGCAAGTAGGTGCAAAAGCTGTCCCTTCCGAAGCTTGGGTCAAAACATGTCATTGTAACAAATTTCATCAGAACGTCTCAAAAATTGCGGCCTGTAGGTTGAACACAAGAAAACAAGACAGAGAGACAAGTTTTAATGGATTCAGAAAGTGAATCTCACTCGATTGGTATGGTGAACGGGGGGTTTATTTCAAGTTCTGCTGGGTCTGCTGCATCTGTGCACACTTAATACACCCTTGCATCACAAGTGATGTACGATATAAAAATATACCTGCGTGTAGCACTTTGCGTCCATGTACAGTTTGTTTGGACAAACAAATGGATTTAAGCTATAAACAAAAACAATAACATGTTAATTATTGGCGTGATTCTTATAAGAATCTGAGAGACGTATTGCAGCATGCAATGGGATTAAAGATGGAAGAATTCTCCGAATTTTGTTTTATTTCGCACAATTTCAAATATATGGAAAGCGCAACTGTTCTATTGTCTGCAGAAAATGAGTTCATTTAAAGTTCAACTGTCACTCCCTAAGAAGTCAGGTGCATTAGGTTTATATATTATTATTATTATTCTAACATTTTTTGATTCGCTTAAATAGGACAGGGAATAAAACTAAAATCCTTGTATTTGTATTCTGGTATAAATCACTCCTGCTCAGTTAACAAGTTTTACTCTCAAATGTTACGTTTTGTTGTGGGTTAGCTATGATTTTTCTAGCCATCATCCGACTTATCAATGTGTTGCTAACGTTGCGGAAGAGACAACTAAAACTTACTACACAGTTCTCACTTGTCTGGGCTGCCGTAAGCGAGTTCGCATAAGGATGTGCGTGATGTAGACATGTAATCCATTGGTCAATGATTCGCGATACTATGTAAGCCATCAGTCAATTATTCTTTGTACTACGCTTTCGTTTTTTTTTTTTTTTTTTTTTTTGCATAATCCAACTTAGCCTCCTTCAAGCATTACGCAATTAATCCAACGCTTTTCGAACATATTAATATCATTTTTATAAAGCAATTAATTAAAATCCGCAAGGTATGCTATATTTTTTATGGAAACATCTCATCATTTACTCTAAATATTTTTCTGTGGATATAATAGAAAAATCATTGTGAGAGTAAATGTTTGAACGGTTGGTCTGAATGAAGTAAACAACGATTTGCTTCGTAAACGCAAAAGAAATATTTTTAAACGGAAAGACTGTATTTACTTATGTTGTTTTATTTCATGCAATAACCGTAGATGAAGTCTACACATCTGGTTTAACTATTTTTGTTATTATTAGACTAAAGCCGCAAAGCACTAGCATCTAGGACTATCGTCTTTTATTGAAAGCTCTACTGCACTTGAGATTTGAACAGACGACAAGCGAGTTGTTAGTCGAGATCCTTTGTCTATCTATATGCAGATTTTATTGAGAAGCAATACAGGATTAAAGTACACAAACAAAGTAATTAGTCTATGTTAATTACCTGGAAGCCCATTGGACGATTTAACTAAGTTTACAGTTTCTTCTAGCGGACGCCTTAAGGAAAAACAGCAGACGGAGAGAAGTAGGTTCTCTTCGGGAAGAATTGTCTGATATGTATCAATGTTAGGTACGTTATGCAAACACTCGCACAGTTCTTCTAATACAAATACTTTTTTCTGGTCACATTGGAGTTCATATATGGCATGTATTATAAAGATCGCGGCAGTATTCGTAACTCGTTGATGTACAACTTGGACCGTCTTAATGCTATCTCCTTTATCCAAGTGACATTTAAGCGGAGACAAAGAATGCTATTAACACTCACAAGGAGATAATATACAAGTTTCGTGTAAGATTCCAAGCAGAATGAGACGCCTTTCTCTTCAGAAAGAGATAGGTAGGCTGTGGCCAATGGAAAAAGTATGTTTTAACGGGATTGAGCAGTAACTATCGCTGCGACCAAGTGTTCCTCACCGTACTGAGACTTGTACGCGCATACGCTGAGCTGGCAGTCGCTGTTCCTAGGCTTCTAGGATTCCAGGCTATTCATGCAGTATTAATAGAGTTATTATACGAAGTTTTCGCATAGAGTTTTTGTAGAAAGTCAAATGTCTTGGTACAGTTAGCCTAATTTAACTATCTCCCACCAGAAGATTACCTGGCGGGGCCCCCTTTTATGGACTCTGCTGTAGAGGTAGGGTCCTAACCTTTCCCTCTGTACCTCTGTTCGAGATCAGCTGGTCTTACCAGTCGCTTAAAGGTCACATTCAACGTACATCAGCTGACTTATTTCGAGCGTAGTTGCTCTCCCATCTTTTATTTTAGTCCTTGGCCCATATAAATCTACAACAGATAACACTGGGCTAGCAGTATTTGCCTACTCATACATTGAGGAAAAAGTTAACAATATCTTAACAATAGTTAACCTAAAAGTGAGACCGCAGAGCAATTTGTGACCACAAGTGCCCACAATATATTTATATATAAAATTGTTATCTTTATACATACATGGCTCCCACATAAAGCGAGTCCCGCTCATCGTCCAATTGAAAAGTCCGATAGTAAAGTTTACCGCAATTGAATTCACGTACATGATCTGTAAATTGCAAAGAGATTTAATTTAAAAACGATATATACTCAAGGGCTCATAAACTGCGTAGGCTGTAAGTGATGAAAGAACAAAAAAAAAAAAAAAAAAAAAACAAAAAATGCATTATTTGCAAAATTGATAGTGAAATTAATAGTAAATTTAATGTTTTCAGAAAATATTAATTTTCTTTTGTTTTCTTTTATTTCCTCTTTTATGAGGCAGAAAGTCGCCGACGGATATATGTCTGACAAACAAATGTAAATTTTTGTAATGATTAAACAAAAAAAAAGAAAGCAATATATATATATATATATACGCATACTCATCACACAAAACGCACGCACGCACGCACTCACGCACTTATATACACTTAGATTTGTAAACAAAAGTCCTTTATGCCTCTGTCTTACTTTTCCTTCTTTTGTTATCGAGTAAACAAAACGCATTTCAAACAATAGTTGAGAGAACAAAAACAGTTCATGAAAATAATAACAATTCAAGCATAAACAAGCTAACATCCGTTTTGGCAAGGACAAATACAGTATAAACAATCATGTACGGAGAGGTGTACGTACGCATGTATGTATATATACGAGAAACCTCAATTCAAGAAGAAAGAAAAGAAAATTTAAATGTCATCGATGGGTTTCTTTCTCATGGCAAACAGAGAAAATTTACTTAAAATTGAAAATCAAAAACTAGCTTTACTCTAAGTAATAGGTATTTACGAATACACAGGCACACGACGTGTACACGTACACATACGTGCATATATTTGTGAATATGTAAATAAAAACATTTTTTTTTTTTTTTTTGAAAGAGGTAAAGGAAAATGGAATACAAACTGTCAACTGCTTGCTGTAAGAGAAGTAACAATGGGAAGAGTAAGAAATGTTTGAAGAAAATGCAAACTAGAGAAGACAAGAATGGTATATAAAGTTAAAGAACCCGTAAGTTATTGATATTTACATAATAAATATATTTGCCTTACAAGGTCTAAAGTAAACTTGAAAATTTTTGGCTATGTGTGCGTGGCGTGTGTGCTTGAAAATATATTTACTTATTTAAATATATGTAAATATGTGTATTTATAAATTGCTCAAGCGTTGGTTTTCTATTTAGTTGTGAACTCAAGCAACAAAATGTTCGTAAACAACACAAGTTCATCTTTTTCCTTTTTTTTTTTTCTCTCCATTTCATACACGTACTCATCTTGAGATGTGTGTACATGTGAATATTTACCAAAGGACATTAAAATTCTTAAATGAAAATGAATTTTTTATGTTTTTCATTTTACATTTCCTTCCAACAAGAGCATACTAAATTTATGCAGATGTATGTAACACCCGGACAGACAGAAAGACTTGAGATAGAGCATCCTTATATGGTAAGACCTCGAAGGACCAACGATATGCCCATCTTTTATTTTATCACTTTCTGATTTGATTTAAGTCTGTCTGTCCGGCAGTTTTTTTTGATACACTGGTACCATGATGTGTGCTGGCCCAAGGACGAACGCTGTATCCGACCAGTTCCACGTCCTATTTTGGAAAAGTTATTATATATCATTATAACTGTAAGGTGATGTAAGGTATTTAAAAGCCGGCCGTGGCTCACTGCAGTGTTTGCATTTGTTTCGAAGCAAAACTCATTGAAGAAGTTGAAAAAATTTTGAAAAGATTTAAGATTTTTTTAAATATTTACATTTCCCGGCACAAGAGGAAATTTACCGGCGAATATTTCTGTGCGTAGTAAGAAATAATTCCACGTTCCAACGTTAGAGATAAAGACAAAGGGTCTTATGATCCTGCCTTTTTTTTTTTTTTTTTTTTTTGATACGAACAATCATTCAGGGGATATCCTCTATTCGTATAATACAGTGATGGTTTGAGAAAAAGATGAAGAGAGAAAGGATGACCATATGGATTTAAATTTAAAGTCAATGGCATCAATTTTCTTTCAAAGAAAATGAAAAAAAAACAACAAATTACATTGATATTAAAGAGAAGGAAAATCAAAGAAATCGTCATAACCAAAGGTGTTTTGTGTGAAACCGAATGCACCGCCGAGCACCGCCTGCAGACATGCTGCTTCAAATAATAAATTCGATAATAAGCATAACTTAACTGAAAGCATATTTTCAGGGCATGTCGAATAAATTATTGCAAAGCATAAATCAAAGAAAAAAAAAAAAATAAAAAATTTATAAAAAAAAAACTTTCTAAAGAAAGGAAATTAATGCTTATGATATATTAATGATTGCAACAGAAAATTTATGACATCAATTAATTATGAAAATTTTAAGATTTAATAAAATTAAAGACTTACATTATGACATATAATATCACTTAATTATACTAGGTCATCGAATAAATTGAATGCAGTTCGCACAACAAAGACATGAATGTATGTTCTTATGTACATATGTATATGCAAAGGAAGGCAGTTAGAAGTAAAGTAAGTAAGTAAGTAAGTAAGTAGGTAGTGTCTTTGCATTTTCTAGTCAAAAATATGACAAGAATTACTTGTTTTAACAATGCTGGACAATAATTAATGACAAAACTAACATTTCATACATATATATATACATGCTATATATGCTAATGTATATGCATATGTATGTGAATGGCGTCATTAAAGATAGATGACTTTGTTTAGATTGCATAGTTATTATTGTTCTTGTTATTGTTCAATTCCAATTATTTAGCATTGGTTTCGTATTTCATCGTTAATGTTATATAAACACAAAGCCAAAACCGAATGTGAGAGAAAAGCAAACTTAAACCAATAGACCAAATTCGCACATATCTACTTGGGGGGTGGGTATATTTGCTTGTCAGGCACCTATATCTGGATGCATATATATATATACATATATAGGAACATCGTGTGTGCAAATAAGTTG